TATCTACAAATCTTACTACCAGACTCATAAAGCCTTATTTGGTTGATATCAATTATTAATCAATATCTTGAGTATTAAAAGAGGTTTTAGACATTGTTTTCAATAGCCTCCAATAAAAACAACTGAAGATATTAATTCTGTTGATAAATTCGTATATGCCTATATCATTAGTGATTAACCGTAGTAAGCAACCGACAAGTTTTACATCGTACTCACTATTTTATCACGATAGAAACAAACCAAATTATACGTACCGACAGCCAATTATACGATATTAACGATTAACTACCTACGCATACCACGTTGACTTCAAATTTTTCAATTACAGATATAGTCTGCAATAAAACGTACATTACTCCTATTATGAATTCAAATATTTTAATTAGTACTACTTGAATTCGTAGGAGGCAAGTAGGTGTGATAAATATAGTGATATATTTTATTTTTATGCCTTCAAAATGAAATAGACTCGGGCGCTTATTATTATTTACTTTTTTTGTACTATATACAATTATATCTTCGCCGATTCCGAACCAACTTAATTGATTTTACTGGTTTACTTCCAAATTGGTTACATATTTTATTCCAAAAACTTTTCGAAAAGTGATACTGTACGGGCGTCGATGTAGCACAAAAAAATGCGTATATTGAAGCATCTTCAAATACGAGTAATATAAGTTTACATAGATTGTAATTTATTATTAGGATTTTATTTTTAAGATAATTTTTTAATAAATTAGCATCAAAAATACCTATTTTTCAAATACAGAATCCATCTCCACATACAATAAGTTAGTTATTTGTTATTTATCTACCAAAATATTCACTATAAATAATGTATACAGTAAAACAACGTTTGCTAGGTTAGCTAGTACACTATAATATATTATTAGAAGTGCTTCCCAAAATGTGTTCGACTAATATAAATCAATACCATTCATAATTCAAAGAAATCCATACTTATTTTAAACTAGGTACTGAACTATAGATATACTGTCCATCCTAACTAATATTATAAATGTGAACGTGAGTTTTGTTTGTTTATTACGCTTTCACGCCTTAACCGCTGATTCGATTATGATGAATTTTGATATAGAGATAGATGTGACCCTAGAAACGATTATAAGCACTTTTTTTCTTGCGAAAAGCTTATAAGGGTAGGGTGAGGGAGGGGTAAATTCTGCATGAAACTTTTTATGGGTCGTCCGATTTGTTTCAAACTTGCTGAATTATTGCTTGTATTTCATAATTAAAGTGTACACATTTCTTTTCTAAAAGTACTCCTTAAAGAAGGTAAAACAGGGGTAGGTAGCAAAATCATATGGAAAAATAGTAATAAAATTTTTACATTTAACTAATTCAGCTCTGCTTAAATGAAATACTTTATTATTTTCAGATATTGTCTTTTATTATTTTCAGATTTATTACCTAACATCTAATTCTATTTTTTCACTTTTATTTTACTCAGCTTCAATTTTTTGTTATTTTATACTTGGTGTAAATTGTTATAGATCTGTGTTTAGTTCTATGTTAACACTATTGTAATTGTATTATGTTTTATACTTGTTGTGTGCTTCCAGGCATGGAATAGGCCACCCTTTCTTTTGCCGTGGGAGGTCGTAAGAGGCGACTTAGGGAACTAATTGGTCGAGAGATGGCAGCAGCGTCTTAAAATATCGTAAATGCCTAACTGCGGTTGCCGACCCACAAAGAATCATAATGCAAGACTAAATTTTTTGTTTGCTATTAGATAACTTTGTAAATAATCAATCTGATATAATGAACAATTTTAAATTAAAAAAAAAAAAAATATTCCGATGTTGCTACACTTCAGTATGAACGCTCTTAAGGTTGGGTTATCTTTTGTCTCGCTCTGTTCTTTATGCAACAACAACGACAAACCCAACTGTTAATATAATCAAATAAGCTGTCCACAAGCGTGTCGAAATCTAGAGTCGTCTGCTGTGTTTATGAGCTTTGTAAGTCCATTTATTCGTCAGGCACGCGCGAACACAGGTCGGGCGATGATTGATAATGAACGAGCGGGACGGCAGACCCCGGCCAGGACCGAGGGGGCTTGACGGATATTATAATAAAAACCTTTATTTTGCAGATATAATAGATTTCTATGTAAAAATACACTTAAGGATATTGTGCTCGATTGTGATCACAGATGAATGCAAACTTATTTCAAGTGTCACTGTGATACTTAGAAATATAATTTAAGATTGTGTTCTACAGGAAAAAGGCAACTTCAAGTGTAGTCAAATCAGTTATTTTGATTAAAGAACTAAACTACTACCGATTTTGATAAAAATTTCCTTCGGTCAAAATCTGTAAGTATATCCTTTCAGATAAGAAAATAATATTCCATATAGGTTAATAACTGACGGAGTTATGAGGTAAAAAAATATAAAAATAAAATACGACCGAATAAAGAATTTATTTGAAAGAACTTCAAAATCAGTCTAGTAGTTTAGTTTTTAACTCAAAATAACGGACCGTCACAATTGAAGACAGTTTTTCTATAAAACTCAATCAATCTTATTTATAATAAATACACTTTAGTGAGTTTCAATTTAATTGTAAAACTGCATATTAAGTTGTATTGTCTATAAACTGATTAAAACATTCTCATAAAACCAGTTTCGTCGATGTGAAGAGTATGGAGACGTCCATTCACACGGTCCGTGAGGCAAACCTGTTTCCACAGACAGGTGTCCCACCACTGAGTCCAAGGGAGGTCTTTTTTTATCTTTTTGTTTTTAGTAATTGCGTTGACCTTAAGCGTGTCGCTCCGACGGTAACCGACCACGCTCAATGACATGTCTAATTATAGTGAATAGTCAATTTAACGGTTTTAGTTGAATATTATTGATTTTGTTTAAACCGACTGCCGAAGAGGAGTTCGAATACAAGAGATGTATTTTCATATATTTATAGACATTAATAACACCATGGGCATTATGATACACACTACGACACAATGCTATCTAAATTCTTTTATCTCTAAATTTAAAATTTCAATTTGATATCACATCGAAATTCTTATTCTAAGGAATAATATGAACTAAATTTCTAATAGATTTAAATCAACATTTTTATAAATTTAGCTTATTTATCATTATTTCAGCTGTTGACTGTCCACTGCTGAACATAATCCTTCTCTATAAAGGGTTTTGTTCGTAGTTGCCAGCTTAGCAGGCGGGTTGGCACTCATAGTTAGGCTTTTACAGATGATTTAAGAGGAACGCTGCTGTCCATCTCTCCACCATAAGCTCCTATAGTCGCCTCTTACAACACCCATGGGAAAGGAGGGGGTGGCCCATTCTAAGCCGGGACCTACACGGCGAAATTTTAAATTAACATGGTCCATAAAACGATATATTTCTTTTTAAAAGGCCGGCAGCACACCTGCAATGCCGCTGGTGTTGTAGGTGATCATGGGCGGCGGTAGTCACTTACCATCAGGTGAGCCGCATGCTCGTTTGCCCCCTGTGTTGTATAAAAAAATTGCGAAACAAATTAATCTATTAGGTTAAGACATATATTTAAAGAGCGCCTTAGAATCGCCTCAATGACGTCATAAATGTTACCATTTTTTAAAAACTAAGATGTCATGCTTCTACGAGTATACCCTGTAAGTCCAGCGTCCATATTTCAACTTTCAAACCGAAACGCAGTCATAAAATTATAACTGGCATGGTAGCATAAACAGGAATGGGACAAAGGTATCAAACAACGACTTTTGTACAAAATATCCTTCTAATAAAAATATATCACCTATACTGACCGCCAAATAATGCGAAAAGGTTTGAACGATGATGACAAATAACATTCTTGAGTGTTACATTAGGCATAAGGGTCCGTACTCAGTTATTTCAATACTCTGTTATAACAGAGCCAATTAAACTAATTTCAACATACAGTTATTATAATAATAATTACTAATTTCACATAGGAACACTAACACGCCATGCAACAAAAACTTGGTATTTGAATATAACATCATTGAAAAGCGTCTATTGTTTTGTTTATGAAATTAATTACATTTTTAATAGCGGCGCGCGTAGCAATTGCTCGGTGGCACGTAATTTCCCCGGGGCGGTTTGACGTAGGTAGAGAATGCGGTCCACCGAGAGAAAAGCATGGCGGTATTAAAATCAATTCAGAAAACATATAAGATGTTATCTGTCCACTGCTGAACATAGGCCATCCTCTTGGGGGGTTTACCATTAGTTGTCACGATTGGCAAGCGGGCTGGCAATCGCAGTTAGGCTTTGGTGATGTTTTAAGAGAAGCGCTGCTGCTCATTCCTTGATCATTAAATTATTTATTTTTTATTTTGAAATTTTAATTTGCCAAGTCGATAACAAAACAAATAACCTACCATTAAATTCGTTGACTACATCTATAAATATACGGTTTTATTTCGAGTTGTCATGTGCTGGAGTGTTATAGTACATTGTTCCTTTGATTATTTCTTATGATTTGCTGGAAATTAAAAGATGTAATAACACATTGAATTATTTACTCCGGTACTACACAACCCATATAATTAATAACATAGAGCAACAAATACTGTGTGTAAATCTCTCTAGCTTTAAAGATTTTTTTTAATATATAAAAATCGTAAAATCGTTTTATAATAAAACTGGTGAACCGGTTCAGCTTCGCGCAGGTAGATAAAATTTTCGAAAATAATATAGAGCCTATGTTACTTATACTTAACAAAACAGCTTTCTATAGATGAAAGAATTTTTAAAATGGGTTTATAATTTTTTTAATTTATCAATTACAGCCAAATAATCAAAATCATTTTATTAGTTTATTTTATTAGTATAGATAGTATAAACTAGTGTACATTAATTATACATTAATTAATATTGTATGTTTTATACATATTATAATATATATATATATATATATATATATATATATATATATATATATATATATATATATATATATATATATATATATATATATAAACAAATTTTTAAGACAAACAAGTGGTTCACCCGAAATATCGCTAGGCGATTACAACGATGAACTAGTTTTGCAGGAAAGATAAGATAAATATAGGCGCCAAACCTCCCAATTTTTTGTTTTGTTTTTCTACGTTGTATATAGGTTTAACTCAAGTATTTATATACATTATTTTCTATCAATTATAATATCAAAATATTTTAATTGTTAATATTTTAATAAACAAAACAATTAGCTTATATATTACCAAATATTTTTCATTGTTAAATGATCGCGTTCATTCCCGTCTCTTATACACCGTAGAAAGTAATTATATTGAAATATTTCAATACATATATACATACGGAATAATTTCTTATTTGGCAATCCAACGTTTGGACGAAAGTATAATCAAAAGCTCGATACGAGACAAGGAGTGGCGCAGTTCGATTAAACATAATTGACCATGAGTCACGTTGCTTCAATGAAATAGTATCTTATATCGACGACTGAATTATTCGATATATCCGAGATAAAGCTCGTCACATCATCTTTACCGGAACGTCGATAAATTGTTATCGAGTCGGTACGTGATAAGCCAATGTAGCAACAGCGGTGTTGTTATGACTATTTTTACGATATCAAGTTAATAGGAATCCATTGATATGTTGGGTGCTAAGTCCTTACCGGAACTGTTTGTGGCGCAGTTGGTTACGTACCTGGAAAATAATAAACACATAATCAATTGTTGTTTCATAAAACGACAAAAAAATTAAAAGAAGAGAAAACGTAAAGATTTTTATAAAGTTACTTTTTATTGACGGGCTCCAGAATGCAGATATTAAATTTATTTACGACGCAATAGGAAATATTAATTAAAGACATCGAATGTTTTTATTTTTGCATTTAAGAATCCGTTATTAAAAAGTATATTCATAATATTTTTTTTTTCTGACTAATAATGGTCGACTACATAAAACTTCTGTCAAATATTTTGATGTCACACTTTTAAATTATTGGTACCATTCTTAACAATAAAATTTGTTAAATAAATAAAAATAAGCGTAACTCCAAGACGAATAGTATCTAGTATATCTAATAAATATTAAAATTGTATTTAATAACAATAAGGTAAAGGTAGAAAGAATGTACCATAATGAGCAGTATGCAACCTCAGTGGTATAAAAAAGATACCATTATGAAATCATTCCTTCCTAACTGCAAGTCGTTTTAATTTTAGCTATTATTTGTACAACCTTGGAGTACGACATTCGTCTCATTCATAATAATAATCGATATAATGAAATTGGAAAAAAAAGTTTAAAAATAAAGACTTTGTTTATGTAATTCTGTAAATCGAATCTTCGTTGAAGGTTTCTAAGAAATAGAAAACACAAAGCGTGGGCGATGGATGTTCAAAATAAAATTAGAATAATAGGTGGTTTTATAAATAGAGGTATAAAATTAATTAAATTCTTAATTTTTTTTTCGCAATCTTTATCTGTAGGTGTATACAAGGATTTAGACTAAAAGAACAAAGAAACAGAACAAATCAGAACATATTTGTGGATAATACATGTGGAGGTTTTATACCTAATTACATGGTTATTATAAAACGTTATTATATGTACATATATGAAAGATGATTTGTAGGTATATAAATGTTTGAATCGTACTGTTTCCTATCATTTATTTGTATAATATTTTAGAGGAAACGGTGGGTTAAAAATCAACGTACAACATTGTTCATAAATCTTGTTAAGCAGCAATGCACTTAGCTTTACCAGAGTACATTTACACTAAACAAATACATTTATACAGCAGTAAAAGAAATAGTTACTTTAATGATAATATATACTGGTAAACAACAGAAATATTTTATAAACAAATTGGATGGACATTTTAGTATATAGAGTTTATAAGTAGATTTTGTCTCACAACAAGGAGTTGTTTAGTCTGCAAAAAAACAAAATGGTAAAATTAATCATTACATAAGTAATATAGGATAAACATGGAAGTAAACCCTACCGATTGCAAAAATAATTATTATTCAAAAACGCATAAAATAAATACAAAACGAAAACAAACAAAGTGAGACTCTCCTCCAACAAGTAGCTTAAACATAAAAATAGGAAGAGGGAATTCGCATAATTGGTTTAACTACACTTTAGCACAGTCAGAATTATTGGACTTGTAAAAAAATAAATTAAATCTGTAAAACAGATTCTCGGACACATAATTGGACAAGTGTTCCGTAAGTAACTAATTTTGGTGCCCCGTTAAGAAAGTATAACCCGAAATTACCACAGAAAAGGGGGTAGGTAACTAATAACACACGAGAATCAGCAAGCCTAGAAATAACTTGACTAATCCATCAACGTACCTATTGGATCTAGAATATTGAAATGTTATTAGACTTAAGAATTTAATACACTTAAGGGTTTAACTATAAAGTGTATATAGACTGGAAACGAAAAGTGATTTCTCTATTAAGTCCCGACTAAGCAAGATATTTGAAATAAATAAAAATTACATAATTTATAACTGAAAAAGTTTTTATTAAGTAATTCTATAATGATGTTATTAGTTTTGAATTGAAAACCTTCTGTTTTTGAAGTGATGTTTATGAAAAATTTATGTGTATGAATTTAAAATCAAAGAGAACTCCTCTTTGAGTTGACACTATAAATTGTTTTCTTTATTTCAAATCGATTACCAAAGCGAAAAACAATCATAAAAATACCGCTGTTTAGCGGCAGAAAACCGAGCACTGTTAAAATACCTGTCTGTTAAATAATCCAGGGATTCCAACTCCAATAAAAAATTGTGAATATTGGAATCACCATAGCAACGACACGAATCTTGAATACCTTTTTTTTTACAACACAGGGGGCAAACGAGCATGCGGCTCACCTGATGGTAAGTGACTACCGCAGCCCATGGTTACCCACAACACCTACGGCATTGCAGGTGTGCTGCCGGCCTTTTAAAAAGGAATATGCTCTTTTCTTGAAGGTTATGTTGTCGTATCGATTCGGAAATACTGCTGCTGGAAGTTGATTCCAAAGAGTGGTTGTACGTGGGAGAAACTGCCTTGAAAAACGCACGGTGGAGGACCGCCACTCGTCCAGATGGTTAGGATGAAATTTTATTTATGGTGGGTTGTACGATGGTGAAAATCAGCAGCAGGTATCGATCCGAACAATTCTTCAGAGCACTCCCCATGATAAATTCGGTAGAAGATGCATCTCTGCAACATCTCTACGCAGTTTCAGTGGGTCGAGTCGGACAGTAAGACGCCGATCGTCAACATTTCGAGCTGCCCGACTTAAACCTTTCTAAGTGTTTACATATTATTAATTTATTGCACGTGACTGTACAATAATACGATTATAAATAAGTAAGTACCATACAATCATAGAAATTGAAGATTATAAGGAAACTGATGTGTCATTTATCGTACATTTAGAGATAACCTATTTAATTTCTTTGTATTTGTGCGATTAAAAATTGGGTAAACAAGTACACATTCCAAAGTTTTATTATTTCATTATTTCGTTTATATAACGATTATTTTGTATATGTCTGCTGTAATATCTAGGTATCATCACGGCAGGTTCCCTACTCAGTATTTAAACGTAAACAGAAAGAAAAAAAATGCGAAATCTCAATCTTCAACCTAAGTCTTAGTTCATGCAAGTTCTTAAATGGTATCATGAACAACGTTGCCACAATGGATATATTTTCGCAAGTTTGGATATTTTTTTTATATCATAGCAGTATATACAATAAAATACATTGTATATTATTTATTTAACAATTAATATAATAATAATAATAACTTTATAATAACTTTATTGTAGCTAAAAGTCGGGTATACAATTTCTTATACAGTGATTACTAAAGGCTCGCACATAGTAGTCAGTGAGTGGCTAATTTTGTTCATATTTATTATTTACAATCCGGTTCCTGTACAATTTTATCATTTAGATACTCGAAAATTAAAATACATTTAAAATGAAATAATAAAAAAAAATATAAAATACTAAACAAGAATAAAGAAAAGAATATTAATGTAAAACATTTAAGGTTCTATAAGGTACTTATTTCTAATACTATTACATATATTTATTTTTGAAAAGAGAGGTGTGTGTGTGTGTGTGTGTGTGTGTGTGTGTGTGTGTGTGTGTGTGTGTGTGTGTGTGTGTGCGTGTGCGTGTGCGTGTGTGTGTGCGTGTGCGTGTGCGTGTGCGTTTTTAATTACATCATAAAGAACTAGATAGGGTTCTTAGAAATGCACCGACTGCAACGGCCCAACTTTTTAAAAAATGGCGCACGTAACGCTCTTAATACCACCATTTTATTTATTTAAAGTCAGCTTAGCTCTACTTCGATGTATGATTCCCTCCACTTCTAAATTACTTAAATTTTTCCCATACAATACATTAAATTACACTTATAAATGTGCACTATTTTGACCCGCTTTTTTGTCTCTGCACCTCTTTTTCTTTCTTTATTATATATCATTGTCTAAATTATTTCCTATTAAACTAAATTTCTAAAACACTCCGAATTAGGTCTAAGTAATTTAAAGTAAGCAAAAGTGTCGTTATATGCAGATAAATGTACCTATTATCACCCGATTTAAATTTTAGAATATTATTAATGAAATTTAATTATTTAGTATATAAAATGAGTATAATAAAAAACTGTATAATGTTACTTTCGCCTACTTTATATTGTTAATTGCGTACTAATTAATTTTTTTTACTGTAATGAACTTTTCATCATGTGTGCATTGCGTTTGCCATGATAGCCGCGGTTGGATTTGTCTATTATTAACAGACTTTCAAAAATGTGGAGGTCATCTTTGTTTTTTTTTTCTGTATTAGTCAATGTCTTCGTCAATTGTGTACCAATATAATTTTTTTTTACTTGAGTATTTATAACCCCACACTTGTTACAATTGAAGTATTTTTTTTTACCATAACCAATTTATAGGTAAATTTTAAATTACTTTTTATTGTTTTTATAAAATCAGTTGTTAGATCTAGTTAAAGAATTATAATATAAATATTGTACGACGTACTAATATAAATTTATAATTTAATTTCCGTGACAAAAAGTTTTTTTTCTGTACACAAAATATTAATATTAAGTACTTATTCGTAGCACAGTTTTTAATCCCTAAGTGTATATTTAAATAAGAGCTTCCGAAAATGAGAGTAATTTAAAAAATACCTATTAATAATGCAACGATTGTGGTTAACCGGGCAAAGGTCATGTTTGGGCCAGACAAGTCTCCATTAAAAGCGACCCCACTAAAGGTCACGCTTTTGACTTCCATATAGGTAAACACATATTCCATCCCCGCATATTGAAATGAAAACTTACAAAAGAGTGACCCTTAAATGTAATCATTACGAATTACTGATGTGTTTACATTATATATGACTAGCTGTATCCTGCGGGTTTGCCTACATGAATCAGTACATAAAAATATCGTATGTGCTAAGTTACGATATAATTTACTCATTGTACTAAAATTTTATACAAATCCATTCAGTAGTTTTGTGTGAAAGAGTAACAAATAAACATCCATCATTACAAACTTTCGTATTTATATACTATATTAATAGAATTAACTCGGTGGTGTAGTAATTTATTACCTTCCGATTATTGTGCATCTGATTTCCGTCCAAAGGATTGTCAAATCAGT